ATTTGTCTTTCTCTTTCTGACTGACTTCACTTAGTATGATAATTCTAGTTGCATCCACATTGCTGCAAATGACATTATTTTGTTCTTTTTTATGGCTGAGTAATATTCCATTGTATATATGTACCACATGTTTTTTATCCATTTATCTGTGGATGGACGTTTAGGTTTACCATTTTGTTTTTGCGCACAATTCCTTTGTTCATATGTTTCCGTGAGGATCATTTTCCTTTGAGTTCATCTTCTAGAAGTTAGTTTAGAGAGAGTCTAGGGGCAGATGTATTTTTTGTTTGTCTGAAAGTGTTTTTATTTCATCTTCATTCTTGAAAGATAGTTTTATTGGGTATTTTCTCTCAGTTCTTCAAAGATTATTCCATTGTTTTCTGCTTCCATTGCTTCTATTTAGAAGTTAGCTGTCAGTATAAATGTGTTAGTTTTTTTGGGCTACCATAACAGATTGCCACAAACTTGGTGACTTAAGACAACAAGAATTTATTGTCATAGTTCTGGAGGCTGGAAGTCCAAAGTCAAGGTGTCAGCAGGACCATGCTCTGTCTGAAGACTCCAGGGGAAGATCCTTCCTTCTTTCTTTCTAGCTCCTGGTGGTTGTTAGCAGTCCTTGGTGTTCCTTGGCATTCCCAGGTTTATAGCTGCATTGCTGTAATCTCTACCTTTGTTGTCTCATGGCTTTCTCCCATGTGTCTCTGTCTGTGTCCAAATTTCCTTCTTCTTATGAGGACACCAGTCATTGAATTAGGGCTCAGGCTAATTGAGTATGACCTCATCATAACTTGATTACATCTGTGAAGACCGTATTTCCAAATTTACAGGTACCAAGAGTTAGGACTCGAATATATCTTTGTAAGGACACAGTTCAGCCCATCATGATAGGTAATCTCTTTTTTCTCTCTGACTACTTTAAATATCTCGTCATTCTTTGGTGCTACAGTTTCACTAAGATCTGTCTATGTGTGGATTTATATTTATTTAATCTACTTATAATTTGTTGTGCTTTCTGAGTGGGAGGCTTTATGTTTAATCAATTCTGGAAGCTCCTCAGGCATGATCTCTTCAAGTATTGCTTCTCTGAACTTCTGGTTAGACATATGTTAAGATCTTCTTACTTTATCTTTTATGTCTTTTAACTTCTCTCATTCTCTCTGCTGTATGCAGGGGAATTGCTTCACTTGTTCACCCAGTTCACTAGTTCAGCCTTGTCTGAGTTGCACTGTGTCCTATCCATTGTGGTTTAAAATTTTTAATTATTATATTAATTCTAAAGGTTCTGTTTTTTCCTTCAAAGTTATCTGGTTAATTCTTTTTTTATATAAATTTATTTATTTATTTGTTTTTATTTTTGGCTGTGTTGGGTCGTCCTTGCTGTGTGTAGGCTTTCTCTAGTTGTGGTGAGCGGGGGCTACTCTTTGTTGCGGTGCACAGGCTTCTCATTGTCGTGGCTTCTCTTGTTGTGGAGCGTGGGCTCTAGGTGCACGGGCTTCAGTAGTTGTGGCACGTGGCTCAGTAGTTGTGGCTTGTGGGCTCTTGAGCACAGGTTCAGTAGTTGTGGCACACGGGCTTAGTTGCTCCGTGGCATGTGGGATCTCCCGGGGCCAGGGCTCAAACCCGTGTCCCTTGCATTGGCAGACAGATTCCCAACCACTGTGCCACCAGGGAAGCCCTACCTGGTTCATTCTTATAGTTTATTTTATTATACTTTATTTTACTTATTTTTATAACATCTTTATTGGATAATTGCTTCACAATGGTGTGTTAGTTTCTGCTTTATAACAAAATGAATCAGTTATACATATACATATCTTCCCATATCCCCTCCCTCTTGCGTCTCCCTCCCACCCTCCCTATCCCACCCCTCTAGGTGGTCACACAGCACCGAGCTGATCTCCCTGTGCTATGCGGCTGCTTCCCACTAGCTATCTATTTTACATCTGGTAGTATATATAAGTCCATGCCACTCTCTTAATTTGTCCCAGCTTACCCTTCCCCCCCGCAGGTCCTCAAGTCCATTCTCTATGTCTGCATCTTTATTCCAAAAAAAATTTTTTTTTTGGATTCCATGTATATGTGTTAGCCTACGGTATTTGTTTTTCTCTTTCTGACTTACTTCACTCTGTATGACAGACTCTAGGTCCATCCACCTCACTACAAGTAACTCAATTTCATTTCTTTTTATGGCTGAGTAATATTCCATTGTATATATGTGCCACATCTTCTTTATCCATTCATCTGTGGATGGACACTTAGGTTGCTTCCATGTCCTGGCTATCGTAAATAGAGCTGCAGTGAACATTGTGGTACATGACTGAATTATGGTTTTCTCAGGGTATATGCCCAGTAGTGGGATTGCTGGGTCATATAGTAGTTCTATTTTTAGTTTTTTAAGGAACTTCCATACTGTTCTCCATAGTGGCTGTATCAATTTACATTCCCATCAACAGTGCAAGAAGGGTTCCCTTTTCTCTACACCCTCTCCAGCATTTATTGTTTGTAGATTTTTTGATGATGGCCATTCTGACTGGTGTGAGGTGATACCTCATTGTAGTTTTGATTTGCATTTCTCTAGTGATTAATGATGTTGAGCATCCTTTCATGTGTTTGTTGGCAATCTGTATGTCGTCTTTGGAGAAATGTCTGTTTAGGTCTTCTGCCCATTTTTGGATTGGGTTCTTTGTTTTTCTGAAATTGAGCTGCATGAGCTGCTTGTAAATTTTGGAGATTAATCCTTTGTCAGTTGCTTCATTTGCAAGTATTTTCTCCCATTCTGAGGGTTGTCTTTTTGTCTTGTTTATGTTTTCCTTTGCTGTGCAAAAGCTTTTAAGTTTCATTAGGTCCCATTTGTTTGTTTTTATTTCCATTTCTCTAGGAGGTGGGTCAAAAAGGATCTTGCTGTGATTTATGTCATAGAGTGTTCTGCCTATGTTTTCCTCTAAGAGTTTGATAGTGTCTGGCCTTACATTTAGGTCTTTAATCCATTTTGAGTTTATTTTTGTGTATGGTGTTAGGGAGTGTTCTAATTTCATTCTTTTACATGTGGCTGTCCAGTTTCTTATAGTTTCTTTATCCTTACTCATAATTTTTGATACTCAATTTAACTTTCAAAAACACCTCATACATATTGCATATTTATATCCAAGAACTCTAATGTTTGTTGTCTTTGGTGGACTGATTGTTTTTGCTGGGTTTTGCTCATGGTGTCTTGTTTCTGATTTATGTGATTGTAAGCCCATGTTTGCTGAAACTTTACCTGTGGAAATTCTTTAGAGGCCTGAGTTGAAGGTGAATTCCTTCCAGAGGGGATTTGTGTTTGCTTCTCTGGGAACTGCCACGGTGTCTTTGAAGTTAATTCTCACGCAGGAAGTGTGAATTAACTTTTGTGAGGCCTGAGTGGTTTATGAGTTCCCAGTGGATGTTTTCTTCCTTTCCATCCAAAGCTAACACGGACACAGGCAAATTTCCTTGCTGACTTTCTTTGCAAAGCAGATTCCTTTCCTGGCCTCCCTTCATTTATTTTTGTTTTTATTTCCATTTCTCTAGGAGGTGGGTCAAAAAGGATCTTGCTGTGATTTATGTCATAGAGTGTTCTGCCTATGTTTTCCTCTAAGAGTTTGATAGTGTCTGGCCTTACATTTAGGTCTTTAATCCATTTTGAGTTTATTTTTGTGTATGGTGTTAGGGAGTGTTCTAATTTCATTCTTTTACATGTGGCTGTCCAGTTTCTTATAGTTTCTTTATCCTTACTCATAATTTTTGATACTCAATTTAACTTTCAAAAACACCTCATACATATTGCATATTTATATCCAAGAACTCTAATGTTTGTTGTCTTTGGTGGACTGATTGTTTTTGCTGGGTTTTGCTCATGGTGTCTTGTTTCTGATTTATGTGATTGTAAGCCCATGTTTGCTGAAACTTTACCTGTGGAAATTCTTTAGAGGCCTGAGTTGAAGGTGAATTCCTTCCAGAGGGGATTTGTGTTTGCTTCTCTGGGAACTGCCACGGTGTCTTTGAAGTTAATTCTCACGCAGGAAGTGTGAATTAACTTTTGTGAGGCCTGAGTGGTTTATGAGTTCCCAGTGGATGTTTTCTTCCTTTCCATCCAAAGCTAACACGGACACAGGCAAATTTCCTTGCTGACTTTCTTTGCAAAGCAGATTCCTTTCCTGGCCTCCCTTCACTAAGGATATATGTAGTCTTTCAGGATCATGGTTTTATGCAGAAGTATCTCTTCGGAGATTTGACCCCTGACCATATTCAGATCCTACATTTGTTTTCTGTTTCCTCATTGCTGCTAAAAATAGGGCTTTTTGTCGTTACTCACTGACACTGCCCTTGGACAGCCACTGGCTTTAGTCCTCATTCACCTATCTGGTTCCAGACCTTCCCTTTGCTCTTGGGGCACTTCAGCATTTGGAAAGGGAATAGATCCTGGTGGCTCAAAGTACAGGCTGTTCTGCCGAACTGCTTGACTTAAACCCCAGCTCTGCCATCTATTAGCTGTTTGACCTTGGACAGGTTTCTGAACCTTCCTGGGCTTCTGTTTTCATATCTGTGAAATGGGGATAAGTTGCAACTTCAGTGTTATGAAGACTTAATCCCTTAATATGTACAAAGCACTTCGTACGGGGGCTGGCCCACCCCACATGCATTCAATGTATGTTAAACTGTTTTTGGCTTCTGAGATTTCTGTTTCTTGCCATCTCAGCAATGCATTTTAAAAGAGAATATTTTAACCAGCGTTTTCTGTGTAGTGAAAGGACTGTCATGATAACAGGTTTTCCATATTACTGTGATTTTATTATTTTCACACAGCAAAATTGATCTTAAAAAGCAAGTCCCGCATCCCACCCCAACACATTTTTGTAAATGTTCAGGTCACATGTATGTTCACATCTTCCAGCAGAGTATCTAGAAGACCATGGGGGAGCTGAGTATCTGAGTCCATGTGGCTGGTGGGTTTTCAGTTTACTTCTCATGTTCTTTTGTAGGGTCGTGTGCACCAGTAGCTTTCTCAGTGGTTTTCTGAACTTTAACTCCATGACGTTTGGTACCTCCTGGGCTCGCCGCCTCTCCACAGCCTCCTCGCTCACCAAACCTCCACACTTTGTCCTCACCACTGAGTGGGTTTGGTACTGGAACGATGAATTTGGCTTTTGGCAGGAGTATGGAAGACAAGTAAGTGTCACGGAAAGAGGGTGAGTGCTCCTTCCTGAGGGTCCATGATGGGGGAGCCTTTCCAAACATGGGCACAAGGATTGCTCTGGGGAGCGCTTGACAGAGCCAAAGATCCCCAGGTCCCCTTATGACGCACTTGCTTTGCAGGAATGATGGCAAAATGGGATAATTTAGAGTTCATTTGTATGAGGTTCCATCTTTGAACAATTAGCATCTGTTCGTTCATCAGGACTGAATGACTTTAGTTGTAGTGAGATCACGTTTCGTTAAATGGGGTAGGAAGATGCCTCTCTTACTGTTGAGCAGGTAACTCCAGAGCAAGTGCCTGTGTGTGCTGGAGTGTTTGTGTAGCTGTGGAATAAAGTTGAAGGCTTTTCAAAGCTAGCTTTCTGCCTTATCTGTAGCAGCAACTTTACAGAAGGTGGGCAGGTATACGAAAATTGACTGATTTCAGCTGTTGATTTGGTATCTGTGTCGAATAATTGCTGCTGTCAATTATTCAAAGATGTTTGTGGATGAATCAGATTAAAGGGAGCCCCCTGGTTACCTGTAGAGGTATAAGTATAGGGAGGTCACCATTTCTATAGTGACACCTTCTCCCAAATGAAAATTGGGATATGTGGTCTAATAGACATTTGTATTCTTCTGGGTTGTAAGATGCTGTAGTAGTAAGGCTTTGGTTTCTACTGCACTTGGGATATCTTTTTCTCTGGGACTCGGTAATGTGAGCTTCATGGGAGCTTTTGCCACTGGTGTGCCCCCCTGCTGAGGGTGGTGCCTGCACCTGGCAGATCCTCAGGAGTTAGACTGGCCAGTTGAAGGACAGAGGTGTTGCTGCCTGTGCCCGCTGGCCAGTTGGACACGGTCTCTCTCAGGAGATGGCTTGTGCCCTCATTCTTCCCCTCCACTTCTTCCAGTGCTGGCCTTCCCGCTTCACTGCTCTGTCCATCCTCTTCCCAACCCGTCTCCCTCTCTGAGCATCCTGGGGTTCCTTCTGTCTTCCCTGGATTTGTCCAGGGAGGCTCTCCAGCATTGCTCTGGGTTTGGTCAGGAGCGGGGTGCAGAGGCCAAGCCTGGCATTGAGCAGGAGAGATGATGATGAGTGGAGCTCACCTGGAGGCATCATGGAGGAACACACAGCAGGCAAGAAGCAACTGGCAAATGTGACAGCCGCTCACGTTTTGTTTGGTGATTTGTCCCCCTTCTGGGAGCTGAGTGGGATGTTACAGGACCCTGGGTGACTTCAGAAACTGCGTTGGCACAACTTTGGGGACAGAGGTCTTTCTGCTCCAAACAACCGAACTTAGGGTTTTCCCTTTTTCTTTTCTAGGCTGCTACTCCTTTATTGCGGTATAGCCGGAGTGCATAATTTAGAACATTGAGTATTTGGAATAGCGAGAATCTCTGGGAATAACCTGTCTGTGGGTTTTACCAACATACCACACGCTGGTGCATTCAGATGTGCACGTGCGGACTCGGTGACTTTCGGCTGTATGGTCTCATTTTGTACCAACGGCTGGGCCCCTCATAGGGTGACCTGTCCATTCTAGCTCTTCCTTTTCCACACACTTCTGATGTCACCCTATAATTTGATTTCTTTCTTAGTTTTCTGCTAATTGCCAGTTCAAGACAGTTTTCTCTTGATTATCAGAAAAGCTGGGTTCTTTTCTGCCTGAGCTCAGGATATACGCCCAAATTTCAGGTCCAGGTTGCCTCCACCCTGTATTAATTTCCTAGGTCATCATAGCAAAGTACCACAAACTAGGTGGCTTAGAACAGCAGGGGTTTGTTGTCTCACAGCTCTGGAGGCTGGAAACTGAAATCCAGGTGGCAGCAGGGCCATGTTTTCTCTGAAACCTGTAAGGAATCCTTGCTTGTCTTTTCCTCAGTTCTGGTGGTTTGCTGGTGATCTTTGGCATTCCTCAGTTGTATGTGCATCACTCTAATCTCTACCTGCTCATCAGTAGCATTCTTCATGTGGCCATCCTCTTATAAGGACATTGGTCATGTTGGTTAAGGGCCCACCTACTCCAGTATGATCTCATCTTAACTAATTACATCTACATGTAATTACATGACCCTCTTTCCAAATAAGATCACATTCCGAGGTACTGGGGGTTAAGACTTCAACATGTCTTTTTGGGGGTTATGGTTTAATCCATAACCTAATCTTTTTTTTTTTTTGGTACGCGGGCCTCTCACTGTTGTGGCCTCTCCCGTTGCGGAGCACAGGCTCCGGACGCGCAGGCTCAGTGGCCATGGCTCACGGGCCCAGCCGCTCCGCGGCACGTGGGATCTTCCCAGACCGGGGCACGAACCCGGGTCCCCTGCATCGGCAGGCGGACTGTCAACCACCGCACCACCAGGGAAGCCCCATAACCTAATCTTGTGTATAAATGTGTTACTCTTTTTTGGCCCACTGAGTTTTCCCACGTTGAACCTGCCGTCCCTGAGGTGGTGGGCTCCATGACGCATTACCCCAACCTGTATCCGGGCTGGATTATACTCAACAGTCTTCTTGTGTCGATTTACCTTTTGCCTTTTCCCCTCTCCTGTGTCTCCTTTGGTTTGATCTAAAAGCTCCACAATTGCCCTCACCCTTTTGTACCCAAACAACCCATCTCTGTCTGCTTGAAAGGGAAGACTTCCATTTATTCCTCCACTTGCCAGAATCTGACTTCTGTTCATCTGGTCACCATTCATGGAACGCCTGCTAGAGGTGGGACCCGGTT